GCAATTTTAATATATTATCCCTTTGATGTAAATTGACATCATACTGGTAAAGCATAATTAGGTCAGAGAATTTTCTGATAAAATTTTTCCATATCCTGAAACCAAATACATCAAGAGTATGGATAAGTGTTTAAAATTACTGTCTGATGGAGTTACTTCACATACATTTTGTATACAAAGATACATTTTGTAGCCCATTTCTCATATGTAGAAGTAAATTTTTCGTTATAGTCCCTCTTTCCTCTATATATTTAGCCCATCTCTGCAATTGTGGTCTTGTGTTACTTCTTGGTATTTGCTTTTTATGGTTTCTAATTTTAAATAACCTTTCTTTCCAGTTGTCCAGTAATTTACTGCCTTTAATTTGTAGGTGTAGTCGATGTCATCCTGCAATTGACAATTAGCTTCAGCATATCTACAAATTACTACGATAGCAGTTTTCATCTTCGAGATATAAACATAAATCTTCCCCTAACTTCTAGCCTTTATGACCATTTGCAGACATTTTTACATCACATTTGAAAGAAATACCCACTACCTCCAAATGTCGTATATGCCTTATTTTATACTAAACATTTGACTGTGTGACTATTTTACGGCTTTGTTTAAAATATTTTCAAAATACCTGACAGTTTTATCACATCATTCTTACGAAAAGTGGTTACATGTAACTTCGCTGGGGTTGATATAGAACGAATGAGAAAAAAACACTTAACCAATAGTTTTGAACGTGCTACAAGTATATCTAGCGCCATCAAAATCGATAGGGTGGTTTTTAAATAAACCCGAAGAAATAAGGGTAGTTTACCCCTTTTCACCCTGTAATAATAATAATAATAATACTTTATTGTGTTACTAAGCTGCTGCTCTTACACTCAAATAATACATTTTCAATACATTTTCTTATTTAATAAATACACTAGCATAAACAAAAACCAAGAGCGTATGGTGGTTACAATCCGATCCCTGCGTTTAGGAATTCCTGCACAGAATAAAATGTTTTCTGACACAAAATCTTTTTTAAGTTACCTTTAAAAATCCCTCTATTAAACTCTCCTATTAATGCACTCGGCAACTTGTTAAATACCACTCGAGATAAGTACTCTGGCCCAAGCTGTGTTTTGGATAAACAACAGTAATTGCTATAAATTTTATCCTTATTCCTAGTATCATGCTCATGAATATCGCCATGTATCGCAAAATGTCCCCTCTTATCAAAAGCATAGAGACGCATTAGAGAATAAAAAGTGAGGGTAGAGTTAAAATCTTTAATCTATTAAAAATATCTCGGCAGTCTTCTGTGTACCCAAGACCCCTCACTACTCTCACCGCTCTCCGTTGCAGTGCAAAGATATAAGCACTACTTGGACTGCTACCCCACGTAAGTATTGAATATGGCAACAAGGAATAAATCAGTGCATAATATAAACCGCCTCTTGAGTTACTTCCGTTTTTAGCTTCCTTAGTATAAAGATGTTTCTACTGATCTTACTTCCCAATTCCCGCACATGCTCAGCAAAATTTAAATTAGGCGGCCCCAAATAAATACCCAGAAACTTTGTTGAAGGTGGATTGGGATAGTTGCTCTTTTTTAATGTGAAAAGAGTTTTAACTTTTTTGCTGTTATTTAAACAAAGTTTATTAACAGCACACCAATACTCTGCTCTAGCTAACGCATGTTCAGGCCTATCCAAACCTCGCCATAATTATCCCCTTTTAAAACAAGGGTTGCATCATCGGCATACAATAAGCAATGCACGTCCTCACCCAGATAGGTAGGGAAGTCATTGAAAAATAAAAGAAATAACAATGGCCCCAATATGAAACCTTGAGGAATTCCCATTTTTATATTGCGCTTACCAGACACAGCTTCCGCACCCCTGATCTGCTGTGCTAATTAGTTCAACACTTTGTCCATCAAAATTGTAAAAATTGATATTGTATAAATTGACTGCAATATCTGACGTATGCGGCAACTTTTTGACAATATCCTTAGCAATATCTACATAATAAGCATTTAGAGCATCAGCATTTAATTTCTCATTATCGTTTTTTTTGGTTTTTTCGCGCTTAGAAGTTACTACCTTCCACATTGCCTGAGTTTTATTATTTGAATTGCAAATATAATCACTAGTAGCTGTAATTTTAGCCGTTGTTATCGCATTTCTATACCCATATTTAATTGTATTAGGCAGATTCAGCAAATGGTTCGTTTTAAATTGATTGTAAAGTGCGCATATAAAATCATACCGCTACCTCAATTGCCTTAAACTTTCACTAAACCAAACAACATCAGTGTCCTGACCTCTGCTCCTTACTTGTTTTTCAGGAAAGGCAGAATTAAAAGCAGCTAAGAATTCATTATGGAATAAGTTGAATTTATCATTAGCATTTAGTTGTGTATCCTTCAAATCATCCCAACATTTCCCAGATATAATGTTAAAGAAAGTCAAACCACCAAGCAACTATTATTATTATTGGCCTAATCACTTTAGAGTCATACCCGTAATACTGGGTAACGTTTTAGGGACTGGAATTCCAATGCGCTGAGGTGATCAGACAGATTATTACCGACAACATATCAGTTTCAATTTCCAAATTTTAATAGCACTTTTCGTTTTCGAAATATAAGCGAAAATGTACTTTTTCCCTATTAAGAAATAGAGACGCTTGTATAAAGTCACTTAAAAACCGTCAAAGAAAGGAAAAGTCTTACTGTTCTTGTAGAAAAAGTAGAAGTATCTCGTCGAATAGAAAATAAAAGCCGAAATGCCTTTTATCGAACGTGTGTATCTATTAATACAATTGAAACTACTTTTAACGAAAATTGCACGGAACGATTTTATTACACTTTTTGATGTCAACAACAACTCGAGAAACAAGTGAATAACAATAATTAATAAAATACGGAACGGCCGACTAATTAACTTAAATTATAAAAACTTTGAACATTCCCCAAATTTTCAACCCCTAAAAGTCGGTTTAGTAGTTTTTGTTGCGCGTATAAAAAAATACGTAAACCTTATTTTGGTCCACTCTGACTGTAACAAATTTCATCAAAGTCGGTGTGACACAGTTGTGTTAGTTCCCTTATTGGTGGAACTGCTAGATTAATATTTTTCTCGAGGCTAACCTTAAACTTTCCGAATCAGTCAATTTGTTTATACGCTGGCAAACACAATTTGCTTTGTTTATTATATTACCAATTAATGTTATCAATGTCAGTGAATGATCAGAGATTCCAACCTTCTTCAATTTTCAAATATCTGATGAATACGTTTTTGATAATATAAAAGTTTGATAACTTACTTTGATTTGCTTGTGAGTACGTTGGTATGCTGGCTGATAAGTATTTGCATTTTTTTTTTTCTTTCTAGTAACTCATCTTCTTTGGTGGTTCTTTGGTTGTAATTAATCTTAATCCCCGGTTGGTGCATTTCATATTAAAATTTCTACCCACAGTAACTCTATTACCTTGCTTGTCCAGAAATTATAAATACTAATGTTTCTTGATTGAATGTTTTGGATTTTGTATTCAGGATGTAGCTAGAATCTCTTTAGTTCTTGTTCTTGGTAATGCAAAATATTTTCTTTAATGATGCCAACGCTTCCTTCTTTAGAATTATTGGTGTATATGGTATGATATACCTGTCAAATTTGATAATTGATTGATAAAGTAAGTTTCTGTTATTTAACACACGTCAATGTAATTGATGTTTAGGACTGCTTTTTCTTTGCTTTTTAGATTTGCCTTTTCTTTACTTTCTTTGCTTTCGAATTCTTTGGAGCTTTTGAATTGCTATGTTCAAGTGTATTTAATAAGGTTTTTTGGTCATTTCTTTTTGTCCACCGCAATTAACATATTTTGGATGGACACTTTATGATTTCTTATAAAATACTTTCTTGCACACTTAACGCATCTTAACTCATTGGCACAATATCTTTGTGTAAAGCCATTTAAGCCACTGAATTTCCGCTTCATTTCCTATCTTGATCAAATGATGAGATCTTCAATATTTTTTTCATTATCACATATACTAGATAATATACTGCCAATGCTGTACTTGGCTATTAAGCAGTTTAATGAGGAATCAATAATAGGACAACTGTGGACCAATGTTTAATGTTATAATTATTTTAAAAAAATGTAAATAAAGTTTAATATAATGTAAACCTGATTACTTCGTTTAAGAGTTGGTGTAGTCATTATATAGAAATTTCAATGAAACAAAACTAATGTAAAACGTTGGTGCATTGCGGAAAAAACCAATCGTAACTATCTACAACCTTCCCCTTCTACTTGTTAAACTTGTATTATTTTCCTGGTCTCCGCACTTTTCCGTAAACGTTTTCAGAAAATGAGTGTATTTAAATTACCGGTTACTGGAACGTTAATTCTATGCGGTTGCAAAACTTTTTCCACAACATACACGTTTGAGTTTAATTCAACAATTATTATCACGACCGTTGAAATAAATTAATTAATAAATCAAAAAAGTTGAAAATACATTATGTTAAATTAATTTCATTGCGAATGTGTCTTGGATGAATATAATAAATCTTATTATAGAAGTATAGCAGGGAAATTAGGATAATTATCGTTCCCCTAAAATATTAACGGGAGTAGAACGGGAATAAAGTATCATGTATCTGGGCGTAATCTCCCCCTTTTCATAACTTTATGGAGGAGGACCGAAATACGAAGTGGAAGTTTAAGTAAATTATCTTTAATTTCCTAATTTTCTACCATGTTTCCTTCAGGATATAAACGGCAAAGAAAATAAAATTAGTTACTATATTTAACCATTTATCGCGTTTTTTAGATTTTTATTTTTTTATTGGGAAATCATGAAACAAAAAATTTAAATAGGAATTGTTGAAAATACTAAAATATAATTTACAATATGTTCATTGCACATCTGCGCATGTTTCTTTAAGCTTCAGTTTTAGGTCCAAGCTTCGCGATAACCATTTCTCCCGTGAAAGTATACCAGTCAACTTCGAGATTCCTTTATAAAAAGCTCGCGAGTGTTTAGTGGCCGTAAAAAGTACTTTGAACTTACATTGTGTCCCTTTTATATTCAAATAAAATCTTATTATTTGAATCAGAAAAATTATTAAAGGTAAAATGGCTCTTTTTGCTGTAATAAATCCAATTTTTTAATGTTATTTTTTTAAATAAATTTTATTTATTAAACGCAGAAATTGTTCAATAAATTGTACATTTTTTATTTTGTGTCCTTTTGAGATTAACCACCACGTACAATATTATGAATAATACATAGCGAATTCTTATCTCCTCCTCGAGAAAACCGACAATAACTCAAAATGTAAAGCGTCCAAACTAACTCTAAATATTTATTACTACACGCTATGTATATTTGCCGTGTCGTTTGTAGACTTCATTTCATTTGAAATAAGGCAAACAACATAAATGACAAATGCAACATTTTACTTTCTTTTTTTTTTTTAATTTAAAACATTCCTTCTCTCAAGAACTAGTCTTAATATTTTTGTTGTTTACAGATTTATCCACAAAAAAAGATGTTGAAATCTTAACCATGAAGTGTTTTATTGGAAGAATGCAGTTCGGTAAGTTATTTTTACTGAAATTGGCATAATAATAATCAAAATTTTAAAATATCACATCGAAAACGCGTTTCTAGTGAAAATGTCAGTAAGATCCGTGAAATTTATATTTTCAGCGCTTCAATTTTTGTTAAAATCAATAAATTCATTTTTATTGTGATACACTCTGAATAAGTCCTATAAAAATGAAATATTGTCAACAACACACGTAGACGTATTTCCATTAAAAAGCAGGGGTGGCTATGGAGACGAGGCGGTAGACAGGACAAGTTATTAGAGAGGGCATCCTGAAAAGCCGTTGATATTAAAACGACACTTTGTATAGTTGCTCCGCAAAAGCTCTTCCCTCGTGGTTTCATGTTAAAACTCTCACGTTCGGTCTCTTGTGATCTAAACTTTCTATTCCAAAGTGAAGGCTGAGCGAAGATTAACGTCAGCCTGCGTTGTATCGAATCGAAAACTTGCATCGCCCCTTACTATTTTATTGTCTATGTTGACTTAAATTTATTGAAATAAACTGTTTTAAAATTTCTACGACATCAACTTTTGTTACAAAAATAGCTTTAACGGTAGATTTATATCTGACAGTTATTACACGCAATTTATGTCTGCCTTTCCATATATTTATCGAAAAATGTGGCTAAAAACTGAAAGTGGCTAAAGATAAATCACGGAGTATGGTCATTAGAAAAAAATAACATCTTTGTCTTTAAATTTGATGACTACTGAAAAGCATCACTATAATGAATACTAACAAATGAAGTGGACTTCGAAATAATAATCGAAATTGAACAGAACACACCGTATACATCTAGTGATTGAGCAGTACAAGAAAAGACCAAAAAATGAATGCAGTTACTATAGAAAAATTGCTCCAATAAATCACGCAAGTAAAATATTACTGAATGTCAAATTTTAAATCTAAGCCAGATAATTGAGAAGATTTATGAATATTAATCAGGGCTTACGACATGGTACACTGGAATAAACTTAGGCACATTTTAAAAGATCTGATCTATCTTATCAGCTATATGACAACAACCTAGCTCAAATAAAAATAGGAAACGAATACTTAGGGTACTTTAGAGGAAAGGCATAAGGCAATACATTCTCTCCCCAATACCATTCAATATCTATGGAGAATCCATAATGAGGAAAAGCGCAAGTAAATTGGAAGGGGAGAATGTCTATGGGATGAAAAAAAATAAAGCTAACGTTAAAGATGAACAAGAAATCTTCGAACTCCTCTAATGAATCGAGCAAGTAAGCCTGGAGTACGGACTGCGACTAAATAGATCCATGACATAGGTGTTACGGATGAGATCATCTATGTGGGCACGAAAATAACAAATAGGGGCATCTCAGAACAAGAAATAAAGACATGAATCAAAATGGTAAAAGATGGCTTTGGCGCTGGTTAAAATCTGGAATGACCAGCTTACCGCAAACAAACTAAAACAAGACTTCTGAAATATTTAGTGTTTCCTTTTGAAACGTGTGGCTCAGGATTCTGTACCACAAATGTTGCATGCCGAAAGAGGATTGAATCTTTTGAAATGATATGCAACCCAAGATGTTGAGAATACCTTGAATTGCGTATCGCACTAATGCATCCATTTTAGAAGAACTAAAAATACGCGATAATGAGTGATTACTACCAATAATAAGCATCGTGCATCGTTAAATCGTTAAACTCATCATAGAGGGGAAGATCAAAAGGCAGGTCACCGGTGAGATATACAGATCAAGTAAACGATCTGGCACAGATGTCGGTCAGATTGTCCGCTCCATTTGAATATTCTTTTCGACCGTCTATCTTCTCGCATCCTCATTATGTGACCAAACTAAATTAAATTCTATTTTTTATCTCATCATTTTTTACTTGATCCAATTTTGGTACTTACGCAATTCTTATGAGGTAATTCATTTCTACAGAATTCAGTATTTTCCTGATGTTTTCATTTACCGTTCAGACCTCACTTCCATAACATAAATCTGATTGTACAAAAGCTTGCCCTATTATTTTCTTGTTTTGGTTCGATATACTTTGTCGGATTTTACTTCTAATCTCCGGTGGCCCCAGTTCATCTTGATGGATAATTACTCCAAGGTATTTGAACTTTTGAATTTGTTTAATTATAATTCATCCTTAATTAGTACTTCAAATATCGTATCCGATTTAACTAGTAGATATTCTGTCGCCATAGTTTAATTGCCTTCGCGTAGTGCCCGAGCGCTTGAAGTGAGATTGGCTCCAGGGAAGCACTTTCTTCATCAAGGTAGTTCTAGGGGTTCACCTGATCCACAAAAATCAGCGATATCTTCCCAGTCGAGGTCACTCCGGTAGCTTTCAGCTGTTCCATCAAAATGTGAGTCTTTTGCATCTTGATGCTACGAAACCCCAACCGATGTTAGACGATCCTGTGCATGGATTCACGGCTGACATTCAGCTCCGTAGCCATTCTTCTGATACTCCTCTTAAAATTCTGGCACACCTTGTCCCCGATACGCTTGACCATGATAGTAGCCACGGTAGTTTTTATCTTCTGGGACGATCCTCGATGCTACCGATCTCCCGATAACGATACCATATCCCAAATTGTATATGACTAGCTTCACATTTAGGACATATAGATTAGAAGTTTGTCTTAAATTAGACTCTGTATAACATATATCATTACAGTTCGTTAAGGCTATCTCGTGTTCTAGGATTCTAAATGCACGATTTCGAGTGAAATCGTGCATTTGAAACCCTAGTCACAATCGATCACTGCTTAAGGCAATATCTTAAACGTTCCATCTCTAATTTAATCAAGCTCATTTGTAGCCGAAGAGCTTCAATGTTCAATTATGAAGCCTTAGCCGCAGGCGACCTTAAGTATATGATGTCATGGATTTTCTATCTTAAGTTTCTCTAAGGTGGCTTGCGACCAAGTATCACAGCATGTATTAATCAATTTTTATTGGTGTTGTTATTTATGGTATTAATTGAAGCACCTCGGTCAGGAAGCCATCGCTTTATCGCTTACTACAATTTTATAAATTTTACAATTTGTTGAATATCTACATATATATAACCTTGCCATAAAATTTATTTTGTACGAGAGAGAGAAAGATATTTATTCCAGCTGATCACAATACAATTAAAAATTAAATAATATTATTATACAATGTAAACTTAAAGTTAAACTTTGAAACTGGAACGGGCTACCGATCGTGGTTCTTCTGCCTATGTTACACTGTTAGTCATCTCTTAGGAATCCACGATTTTCTTGTAAATAGTGTCAAAATTTAGGGATTGAAAAAGTGGAGAAGGGTTTGAGGACAGATTTTTGTAAGCTTTTTGTACGAGGAGAGATATTCGTTGAGTAATGGGAATAATTAAGAATTTTTCATAAAGGACATTGTTAGAGGGGATTTCTGAGGTTTCGAAGTTTGGTATTATTCTAATTGCTGATCTTTCTGCTACATCTAGATGCGATATCGCCTTTTTGCTGATATTAAGGAAGATGGGAGCTCTATAATCAAGAATGGGTCTGCTAATTGTTTTGTAAATATGAATCACACATTTAAAATTTATCCCATTGTTCTTGTAGGTGAGACATCTAAATTGCTTTGCACGTGCTTTGACTTTCATATTAACCTTTTTTGTATGGATATCAAATTTTAATTTGCTATCAAAGTTTATCCCAAGATATTTACAAGAATTCGTTGGATGTACCAAAGTATTAGCTATCCTGATATTCGGAGAATTTTCAGACAATCTATTGAATGGTAGAAGTAATTGGGATTTTCGAGGGTTTATGTGAATTCTCCAGATCTTGAACCAGCTTTCGTATTTTGTACGAGTTTATACGACTTACTGATTTTGGATCAATCTCCAAATTCCTTCGAGAAATAGATATGAAAAAGTATCGGATTGTCGCCGTCACCAAACATATTTTAGAGGCCAGATTTTTGATAAGCGAAATCAAACGTTTGGTTTTATTTGTGGAAACTAAAACTTATGCCCATTTTCAAGACCACAAAGTAAAAATAAAAACCACAAAATAACTTAAATACATTAAACAGGCAACAAAATAATACTAAATAAACCGCCGATGATTAAATATTGTACTTACTGTATTACTGGGTTGCCTACTCATATTTATTTAGGTTTTGGCATTCTTTGAGTCCTTTTTGTCGCCATTTTTTTGTTGACAATTACGTCTTCTGAACAATAGTGTTTTAGGACTTTCAGTTTACCTTAATAGAATATCTATTAGAGATTTTTCATGTGAATAAGTTATATTGTAGTTCTTGTTTTTCCTTATAATAATTTCTATTTTAGGGTTTTCTACACCCGTCCCAAATGGGATTCAATCTTGCAAAGTGCTCGGTTGCTTATTTTGCAATTAATGAAAACACGGTAAAGACTTAATGTAGAGTTGAAGGACCTCTGCATACTAGTTGGAGACTAAGTCTTGTTTAAACTTGACTTTCCATCAAATTAGCAGACATAGCGAAGATCTGGTGCAGATCTATAGGTATGGTTGTCAGCTCCGAGTGTTGACATATGGTTTCCGGGCTCCGCTCTTTAATTTAAATAAGTTGTCGTCAAAAATAACGTTTAAATTATTAAAATTTAAATTTTAACAGAGTAAAATTTTTATTTGTTGTTATTCTCTCTTATTTTTAATTTTCCTACGATGAATCTGGATAAAATATTTACAGTTTAATTTGCAGTTTTTTAAATTAGGAGAAATGAATACAAAATCTAGATTTACATTAGGAAAAATCACCTGCAAATATCAATAAATATATTTGGCGGTATTAAACAGCAAATGATCCCAGTTAAACAAGGTAACTGTATAGTACGTGACTATTGCAATTTTTTTAATATTTGTTCACGTTGGTCGTCACAAATCAGTAATTGATTCTGTCGTCCTATATCCAATTATCATCGTCTCAAGTCTCAGCTGTACTGGTATTGCTATCAGCATTAATATTAATTAATAGTAAGTTAATATTCCATCTAATTCATTCATTTCTGCTCCCTTTTCATCAAGTTCTTCACCTTTCCAGTATCTGTATTCTTTAGTCACATGATAAATTGTTGATTTTGCAACCCCTCCAAGTATTTAGATGTTAAGTAGCTTGATACATTGAAAAAAAATTCTTACTAGCAGCTTCGATAATTTTATCATGAACACCGGTCTTTTTATTGGACTTTCGTCATAAACAATCTACTGGTTGTAAAAATTTAAAATATTTTACGTTTCTGCTAAAGTAAAAGGTAAAACTAAATTTCTTTAATTTATTACTAGCTTCAGAACCCATATCTAATTCTAAGAAGAAATATAGAAATACTAAGAAGAAAAAGAAGAATTATTATTAATTCTCTAAGAATAATTTTTGACTCAATTAAGTTGTAATATTTAATTATACGATAATGTAAACTATGCGTGGAATAACGTATTTATTACACGCAAAAAGGTTTAGAACAAAAAAGGCATATGCATCGTTCAAATGTCAATAACCTCACCTAGATGTTCAAAGCGTTGTCAAAAATAAAGAAGACTTACTATGTAAAACTATTTCGCTTTCAACCAATCATGGATAAAGTTAACCAAAATGGTTAGAAACTTGCATTTAACTCTTTCTAATGCAGCTTTGAGGCAGATTCAATAAGTTTTGGTTATCTTGTCGCAGATGTGATGCAAGGTGTTGCGTTTATACACATTTCCTCGCTGTGGACTTATTGGAACCTAAATACTACGTAAATTTTATAGAGATTGACGCAGACATCTCATGCGACATGATTTTGGCATAATAGAGAATTATGATGGTCTAAAAGTTGATATAGATATAAATTTAAAGAAGACTTGATACACAGTTATCTTTATGCTACATAGAAGAATTTTAATACAAACAGATTGTAGGAGTATTGAGGTAAACTAGATGCAGCCCTCAAGCGTTTTTTATAAGGTTTTGATGCACCCATACTAATTGAAGCCTTCAAGGCTTAATTTTATATAAACTTAACTTAATTATTTGGTGCAAACAGTAATATATACAGAGTTAAGCAAATGTGATAAGTTTTTAATGTATTTATAATAAATATAATCTGATGCAAATAAAGAAGAATCAATAGTCGTTCAGAATCGACATTCTCATCTTTTTTTCTTATCAACCTTTGAGTTCTCTATTCGGTCTTGTATTTTCTTCTAGCAATCTGATTCGAAGTTCGTTCTTTTCTTTCGGTATTGTTGCACATTCCTCATTTACCACCGAACCAGTATTCGTTTCTTTAAATAACACTCGTGCCTATTACTATGTCTACGGTTTCTGTAACGCTTATTTTTCCCAACTCTATGTCACTGCTATTATTTATATTTATGGCTTCAATTTTGCTATAGACATCTTGTTTGTATTCTTCTTGTATTTCTGTATCTTTTAGTGCAGCAGGTCTGTAGTTAGTCCATTTAATTCTTCTCTTACTTCTATTTGCTCCTATATTAGCTATTCTTTGGCAGAACTTGACTTCCACTAGATAATGGTCGCTATCACAACTTGTATCTTTTCTTGTTCGTAATAAATAATTGATGACGATTTTCTTAGCAGTATTTATCAGGCCAGGTAACCAGATATTCTTGGTTAAACTGTGAATCTTTTCCCAAAGATGTTTGCCTTCATGTTTCAATAGCTCACAAGTTATTCCTTCTGATCCTGGTGTTTAATGGTTCGCCATGCACTTAATTATCTGTATCATTTCATTATATGTGGGTACTTTGTCTTCGGGTTCTGCAGGGTATGTAGCCGTCTGTTCTTGATGACCTGTATTGCTTGTTAGTATTTTTCTGTCAGTCTTCAATTTTCAGAATTTTCCTGTTCTGTCAGTATTTGCTGTCCTTACATGCATTGAAGTCAAGAAAACTTGACTAAACTCTCGTGTTTGTTCTTTAACTTTCGTATAAAACTTTCTGCATTCATGTTTGTTATTATGTTATATCATTTCTTCTACCGTATCTTTGGCCAGTTTCCTCTTCTTCCTGAGACACACTCTACTGATTTCTATTCTTTTCCTATTGTATTCATCTTGGTTTGTTCTTGTGATTCTTTGAATACAATGTTGTCTGGCATTTCGTTTCGCTTGGGCAGCTACATTCTTTGTCGTGGCACCCATTTCTATTATTTCGCCTTTCCTCTATTATTTTAGCTGCTATCGTAATGAGTAAGATTAGAGTAAGATAGAAAGATTCAATTAGTTTTCATAAAAGCCGCCTTCAAACAAGAGTGGTTAGACAATATAATTCTGGTATATACGTATTATAGAACCCTATGTTATTTTTTTCCACTCTGGGAGCTAATTGTCCTTCGCGAGGTAAAATCGAAATCCTGTATACGCATTGCGGCCCAATTGCTAGTAATTACAAAGCATTTTACAATTTTGAGCTTCCTGTTAACCCGTTCGAATACGAATCGGCAAAAATAAACACTCCCTTTTAAAAAAATTTTAAAGTTAAAAATCCTTTAGTAACTTAATTTCACTTTTAGGATAATGTATTGATATGAGATTTTCGAAAATACAGTTTAACTTTAATTAAAACTATCAAAAACATAGTAACAGTTCAACTAATTACCTAAATCTATTTTAAGCTGTAATAGTTAACGTTTGATACTAAGCTGGCATGCATGTTATTGCGTCAAATCGATTTGGTGCAAGCCATATATTGAATTACAGGTCCAAATTTCGAATTGTTCAAGTTACATTATAACCGCGCATGGTTAATTTATGTATCGTTGAAAACGGTAGTTATACTTGTTTTCATTGATATTAAAATAACTTTTTAAAACTTTGTTTTATAATGATATTTTTAAGAGTACAATCTTTTATAAATTATCGATTATGTGTCTTGATGAATTTTAGTTAAAAATATTTTTCACCGCATCTAATCCGATCAACTTGTAAACTTTTAAAAATGTTTTTAAGTTGTGACGTAAAAGCTGCAGGATTTTTCCCGGTGCTAACTAAAACTTTGACACCCACTACTTACAACTTTTTAATGTTAGTAAAGCTAAAGGTTTATTTAAAAAAAACGTGGAAAAATTCGAACCTATTTTTTATATTTTGCATTTTAAATTTGCAAACTTAAACCAAAACCCTACCAATCAATACTAATTAAATTCAAACGTCTCGAAGGAGGAACAACTCGATGACAAGGTGCGTGATTCGAGTGTCAAACACTAAACCCTACCTAGGTTAGCAGTAGTGGTAAGGTAATTAATGAAGTTACGGGAGAGTTGAGGTAAAATGGAATTTCAAATGACTAAATCGAACTGGATTAATCATCTTCTTTTAACTAGGTTATGAAGTTTGTAGTTAAAAAATCAATTAATTAACTAACTACTTTTATAGAATTATAATATTTTAATATATCTCAAAATCATTGTTCTCAAATATAACTATTAATTCCAGGTAAAATAACGTGGTTATGGGTATTACACATAATCTACCAGATCAATCTTTGTAACACAATGTCAACGTCCGGCTGCAGTTTCAACTCCATGTGTCTTTGTTCTTCGGATCAACATGATCTCAACGGACGATTCATCACAGATGTTAGCTGTATATCCATCCCGCTTTATAAATTTCCTAGTAAGATACATTAAAATACAATAATTAAATTATAAAAATGTGAATTTTATTCGATTGAGAATTTTGGTTACAGATTTACCTGAAGGGAACATCAAACAATTGGAGATAATGGGTTCTCGAATACCAGCTCTAGAATCTGAAAGTTTGGCCGGATGCCAAGTACAAAGTCTTTCCTTACCGAATAACCACTTGCAACACGTAGCCGATCGAACCTTCAGGTTTGTACAAGTTTCAAGTTTCCCTAACTCAATTCCGTAAATTCTAGAAATTCTTATAGTCAGTTAAACGTTTTAATTTTAAATTTTAAACAGATATAAATTTAATGAGACTTGTTAAATTATCTTTTACGATTCAGTTTCGGGGAATATTTAAGGAACCAGTTTTAGTCTTTAGGCGCGAGTTAAATTGTTTCGTTAAAGTTTCTAGCAAGAGTCTCAGACAATGTCTCGAAGTTGTAGTAGTAATATTGAATGCTGCAGCAGGAAGGAACAATAGTGAAGACGTGGTGCAAGATTACGAACTCGGAGATTGTAAACCGGTTGAAGTCAAATTGCAATAGTAAATTGTAAATCAAATGTCGTATATAGTGCGTCCTCAACATCGGCAATTCTTGTTACTCACAAATGTTGCAAACCGTATTTGCATTTCTAATATCTATGAAATTATACGGTTTTTGGTTTTTAGTGTATTTTGAGAACTTTTAAAATGAACTAATTAATATCTGTAACCAGATTCTAAGAAGACAAATCGATAATGTTGTTTAGAAATGTCACGGTTTGATCACTGTATTAAAGAAATTAAAGTCATTTCGGGGAATTTGAAAATGATTTATATCATAAATTATAGCTAAAAATGTTTACTTTTATATTATGAGTAGAAATAATGGTGTGACATATATTATATTTGTAGAAAAGTAATCATAAAGAAAAACTTGTTAAATTCGGGTTATGTCAGAAAATGTGAAAATTTAAAAAAATCACCCTGACCTTATTTCATGAAGTTTATATATGATTTGTATCTTAAATTACAGCTAAAAAGTTCTATTTTTAGCTTATGTGTAGAAATAATGTACATAGTAAGATATAAAATATTTTTAGATAAAAATATCTTATAGCAAAACTCGTTAATTTGGGGTTTTGTCAGAAAAAGTGAAAATTTAAACAACCCACTCCGACCTTATTTCGGGAAGTTTCGAAATGATTTATATCTTAAATTATAGCTATAAAGTTCTACTTTTATATTTCGTGTAGAAATAGAGGACTAGGTAATAATATATTTTTAGGAAAAAGTCTTTAAGGGAAATCATATTATTTCGCGTTGTGTTAGAAAAAGTGGAAGTATAAAAAAACACCACAACCTTATTTTGAGCAGGTTGAAAATGATTTTCCTATTAAATTATTCCCAGGTTTGACAGTGGCGATGTTAATAAACAACTTAGCGTGTCTCATTCCAGGAGAACTGGTCCATAGTAGGCGAAATCTCTCTTCAGCCTACGGTCCAATCTTGTGTTTGGCCATCGAAAATGACCCAGATCAGAGAAACTCTGTTGTCACAACTCAGTGTGTTTAAAGTTCTTTCGCAGTCTTGACTGCCTGAGAAAAATCGTACTGTCATGTTCTCACCCCTCTCTCAAGAAGGATTTTAGCACCCATGTCAATAGCAAATACCAATTTCCGTTTGGAATACAGAGCATTACGTACCCAAGCTGTAAGCTTACTTAATCTGAAGTGTCTGGCAGTATACTCCTGCCCCGACTCCTTCCGGCGTTTTTGATTCTTCTGTGAACATGCAAATATCTGCCTGAACCAAAGAACTTTCGTTTTCGATCCAGGACTGCCGTCCAGGCGGTTCAATCTGGTATCGAGCATTAATCACTAATAGTGATTTCATCAAATCTGATGACATTAATAGCACAATATCAGTGCTTATAGTGTCTTCTGCAACCCAAACCTATAAATGGTAGTTCTAGCCACTTTCTCTATACGCAAATGGAAACGAGATAGGCCAAGCAGAACATTAATTGCTAGATTTGGCGTTGTATGTGATAGCCACAGTCATATAGAGTCACTACAGTCTTTCAGGGGTTCACGGTACTAGGTAAGACCTACCTACTAAGATACTATATCATAAATTATAGCTAAAAAATTAAATAATAATTAATCCATAAAATTTTATGGAGGTGGTTTTGAAAATTTAAATATTTTGTCAATGGGCACAAGAACGAATGCGGTTGGACATCAATTTCTTTGGTAACGTGCTATTCTCGGATGAGTCTACTTTTACAAACAAAGTTAAAAATTCGAGATGGTTGCGTGAAGTAGAACATCAACGACCTTGGTCGGTTAAAATTGGTGTGGCATAATTGGTGATAAATTGATCGGTCCATACTTTATTGATGGTATGCTGAATGGGGAGAAGTACCGAAATTTTTTAGATGACGTCTTACCAACGTTACTTATAGATTTGAGCAGGGAAGAAAGACAAAATGATGGGTGTTCAGCACATTTTTCACATATTGCACGTGAAGCTTTAGATCGGGATTATGTTGAGCGATGGATTGGAAGGGGAGGTCCAATTTCCTGGCCTGAAAGATCACCTGATTTAATACCTCTTGATTTTTTCTTGTGGGCGTCCTTAAGGATAATGTTTATCGCGAAGTACCGACTACGTCAGCAAACATGAAAGAGCGGATAAGAAATGCATGCAGAAATAGTAGCCAAGAAAACCTTTTAAGATCCAAAGAAAGTTTTAGTAGAGTTTTTTTTAAATTATTTTACTTTTGAATCCATAGATTCAGATTTTGCAATTAAAAACATAGGGTGTCATTTAAAAAATTGGTCGTGACATTCATATGACCTTGAAAATAAGGTCAAGGTCAAAAAATGTTATCGTCGTTTCCCCCTTCACACAGAACAACTTTCATTTGGTTCATTTTTATGTAAAATGAACCGTTTTTGAGATAATCGCTTGTCTCACGTTAAATGGACCATCCTGTATCCTGCCGTTAATCTCACCGACAAAAATATCTGTACATTGTAATACAGTACAAACTAACTTATCGGCCAGATAATGCTGTCGGGAAGTTTATCGGTATATTGTACAATCTGCCCTTAGTATTTAATGTTTTGAAGATGGTTTTTTCAAGACTTCAAATTTCAGACCTTTGAATTTTTAAATTCAACCTTGTAAAACCATCAATTAATGTTACGGTTATTATATCTCAATAACTGATTGAGATATCATCATGATCTAAAAAGCAGTTTAAAGCAAATTTATCTAGTATTTAACGTTTTAACCAATATTTCTTCAAATTTAAGATTTATCAAGTTTTGAACGCAACCTTGCATAACCTTAAGAATAAATGGTGGAGTAATTAATGTATATGTATCTCAAAAACTAACTGAGATACCGTTATGAAATAAAAAGCAATTTTAAGCAAATTTAAGGAAGATTTAATGTGCCATTAATAATGTTTTATTTTCCATAAACATCGTTGTTATAATTTTTTAAATCCAAATTTGCATGTTTGATTATTATAGATATGAAACATAAATTTATAAATGTATCTCAACAACGAATGGAGATATCGGTATGAAATAAAAAGTAATTTAAGGCAAAGTTACTTGGTTTTTAATATTTTGAAGATGGTTTCTTCAAATCTTCAAATTTCAGACTTATGAATTTTTGATTGCAACCATTACCATAAACATTAATGGAGGGTTTTCGCTATGATGACAATCACACGTCTTATTCAAACTCTTGTCAGCGAAGTCCAACTTAATGTGTCGGCCCTGATGAGTCGGAAACACCAACCGACGAAACACAAGGTTGAGACTGAAACATGGCTACCTTTAGCGACTTACTGGCATGATTGAAAAGTCAGTAAGACCATACCTAATCCTAACCTTAACGGCTAGAACGAAGCATTCAGACTGAATAAGTCTTAGACTATAAAGTCTTGCTTCTGCGGCCTTGAGCGTTTGGATAAACATTAATGTTAGGGTACTAAATTTTTGGTGAGCACGTACGGTCGTGGATAGTCCTAGTTCGCCTCTCTCCTCAACGATTAACGGTCGCACGCTCTCTTCTGCAAAACTGACCGGCCAAGATAAATTTGCCAAGCTCTACGTATATTTTCGCGTTTATAGCAAAATGCTTTTGAATATTTTTTAATAAGTTCGAAAGTTTGTGACCGATAAAAGGTTTCAAAGGTTCCTGTTTTCCATATGGTAATAGTTACCGAAATACTTTAGTGAAATATCAATAAATACACCTCTAATGCACTCCATTAAAACTCTTTGACCGTGAAACTAATCTTAAACTTACTTATAAAATCATTTTAATAAGCTAAACTTACCTCTTTGTTGGTTTTAGTTCCACGTCGAAAAGTCTCAAGTCTTTGGATCTCAGCTATAACGAGTTAGACGTCGTTCCGTTTCAAGCTTTTAGAGAACTTAAAAACTTGCAGTGGATAAACTTACACGGGTAAAATTTCTTTTTTCTTTTAAATAACCGTAATAAATAAACGCTTATTTTTAGAAATCAAATACAAGAAATAAACGGAGATTGGTCTCATTTAAAAAACACAACTATTAATTTATTTTTGGGTGAAAACGATATTAAAGAAATTCCAAGCGAAAAACTACATCAATTCAAATCATTAATATGGCTAAATTTAGATGGAAATCGAATTTCAAAGATTAAAATTCATTCTTTACCGAATACTTTACAAACGTTGAGTTTATCGAATAATTTAATCGAAGAATTTCCGCAAGATACAATTTCATCTTTAATTCAACTGCAATGGTTATATTTACGTGGAAATCATATAAAAACAATTCCAGAAACGTCATCAATTAAAAAGCTATGGTTGGAGAAAATCGATTTACGGGAAAATTTATTAACAAAAATACCAAAAAAGCCTTTTAACAACACCATTTTCGTGCGAGATTTAAATTTATCGTTTAATACAATTAAAACGTTAATAAACGAAAGTTTCTATGGATTAAATTGTGGACGTATTATTATATCTTACAATGAAATTGAAAAAATTGAAAAGTATGCTTTTAAAGGGGTTGAAAACACGTTAGAGTTTTTAGATTTTGATCACAATAATTTAATTGATTTTCCTGAAGAAGCATTAAAACGATTAAACGCGTTGAAGTATTTATACGTTTCTTCCAATTTTTTAAAAGAAATTAAAAAAGATGCGCTAAAAGGGTTTTGTAGTAATGTAAAGGCGTTAAGTTTTAGTGGAAATCAATTCGAAATAATTCCAAGTAACGCCCTTAAAGATTGTGTTAAAATAACACATTTTAATATGGCTTATAATAGAATCGAAGTGTTAAAACAAAACGATTTTATTAATTGGGGCGAAAATATTAAAAATTTAATTTTAACAAATAATCAAATTCACGTTTTAAAAAAAGATGTTTTTATTGGATTAAAAGATCTTAAAGAACTTAGTCTTAGTTTTAACCCAATAAAGTATATCGATGAGAACGCATTTAATGGGTTAAGCAATTTGGAAAATTTAGAACTTTCGTTTTCTTTGGAGTCGATAAAGATTTTTGGGGGTATGTTTAAACCAATTTTTAATTTAAAATTTTTATCGATTGATAATAATAATTTAGAAAATTTAGATGAAAATTTATTCGATTTTTTGCCAAATTTAAGGTATATTAATTGCGAATTTAATCGATTGAAACTAATTCACCCTAATTTATTTAAAAAGGGTCTTCATACCAAATTAAAAGAAATACGCTTCTCTAACAATGAAATTGAAATTGTATTTAACAAAACTTTCGAGGATCTCCCAAATTTAGAAAAAATCATTTTGAGTTTTAACAAAATCAAGGAAATTCAAAACGAGGCGTTTTCCGATTTAACTAATTTAAAAAGTGTCATTTTAATGAATAATTTAATTTATAAAATTGGTTTAAAATCGTTTAATAACCTCCCCAATTTGGAGTTATTAAATTTATTTTTTAATCATTTAAACGATTTTAGTTTTAATTTTGTATCGTCAAATCAATCCCAGTTAATTAATTTAAATTTGAGTTTAAATAAAATTTCAATTTGTAACTCAAATTCTAGATTAATCGAAACTTTAGATTTAAACCAAAATAATTTAAAAGAAATCCCGAAATGTTTATTAAAAAATATTTATTTAAAAAAATTATTGTTAAATTCTAATTTAATCTCAATTTTAAACCAAAACGATTTTCTTTCATTAACTTTATTAGAAATTTTGTCTTTAAAAGAAAACGTGATAAAACATCTTCATCGTTATAGTTTTTTTGGTTTAAATAATTTGCAAATTCTTGATTTGTCTAAAAATTTTATATCAACAATTCATTTAAACCAATTTTTATTTACCCCGAAATTAAGGGTTTTAAATTTAAGCTCAAATAATCTTAGTTACCTCCCAAGGGATGTTTTTATTAAAACTTTGTTAGAAAAATTAGATTTGAGCCAAAATTTCTTTTCTGTCATCCCTAATTTAATTGAAATAGCCCCAACATTAAGAGATTTTTCAATAAAATCAAACGAAATCGAACACATTTCAAGCACAACATTTTCAGATCTTATTCATTTAAATTCTTTAGATTTAAGCGATAATAAATTTAATATTCTCCCCGATAACGTTTTTACAGGATTAGGTTTATTACAAAAATTAGTCTTAGAATTAACCTCAATTCGTGCTAACTTCAAAGAGTTATTTCATTACGCCCAAAATTTAAAAGAATTAATTTTATCCAAATCAAACGTAATAATCACTCCAACCTTACCTTTACCAAATCTAATTTATCTAAATTTATCTTTTAACTTAATTAATCATTTGGGAACAAACACTTTTCGGGATTTATTTAAATTATTAACTTTAGATTTAAGCAATAACTTAATAACTCATATTCAATTAAAAATTTGGTCCCACTTACCACAATTAAAAAAATTAAATTTATCAAATAACCCCATTAAACAAATCAATTCGGATTCATTTCATCAATTAAAAAATCTCCAATCACTTGACATACAAGGGTTAAATAAATTGGAGAAATTTGATGGAAAATCAATTGAAAAATTAGAAATATTACACACTTTATCGATTGAAACTTCGTTAAAAATCGACAACTTCAAAAAGCAACTTTGTAAAATATTAAGCAAATTAAGGTCTTTGCGTATTTTGAAATTAAAAATTCGAGAAAATGTTTTAAATGATCAGTTACGTTGTATTTCTAACACGAAAATACGTGAATTAGAAATATCGGGGGAAAATTTAAAAATGATTCATCAACGTGCTTTTGAAAAATTCACCCGAAATAACGAATTGGTTTTAAAAATTTCTAATACAAGTGTTGAAGATCTTCCCCCTGGGTTGTTTTCGAATATGTATAAGATTCCGTATCTTAGTATAGATCTTCGAGGGAATATGTTGACGTTTTTAAATACGGATATATTTTATGGAAATTCGACAACGTGGAAAAATGTTGGAACAACTTTAGTATCAGGTAAGAAAATAGAAAGTAATTTATTACCAAATTTGGAACAAGATAAAAGGGAGGCAAAGTGACTTACAATTAGGTAGAAATTCAGTTAGAGAATATGCATAAAGCGTACGAAAAATTGATTATTATTAAAAGATATAGCTATAAGCAAAAATACAAATTAATACAACCACATAAACTAATCGTAATCCTACTACTAACAATCTACTGCATGCCGAAATGATCCAAAGTTACCCTAACCAAAAAAACATATTGAAATGCGGCGAAACCTAATTGTCGTAATCGTACATTAACGAGACAGGAGATTTACGTAAAGTGTTACTATTACTACGGCAATTATAGAACGTGAGGGGACAGCAGGCGTTGAGACGCGATACAAGAAAGGTTAACCTTTCCAACAAGCAGCCGCAATCAATATCATAATACAACAGTTTATGAATAAATTGAACTATGTAAACAACTCTGCGCTGTTGTAGTGAAAAAAAACTAAACCGCGAAAGGAGAAACGCGTAATCTGCACCCCTAGGCCGGTAAACACGATCCAGTCGAAAGCGTAGATACTTTAAAAATGTCTTTTTTTAGATTCAAGCACATTCGCGTAAAACTGATAGAACGGATACCAAACAATTACCGCGATCTAATCAACGCAAAAAACAATGTATACAGTGTGTCCCCGGATAGGTGAAACGACTCTTATAAAATGTAAATTTTTTTCGATATTAGCTGTCATCTTTTGGGGTTCAGGCCTGCTTGATTAAAGACTAATTTTGAACATATTTACAAATTTTAAAAAACAAGTGAGTGTTGATACTGAAGCTAAAACTTTTTGTGTGTCAGGTAAAGTACCTTTTCTGTTTACAGTATGGTAAAATGTTACTAAAAAAATTTATTCAGAATGAAAAGTTATGGCCATATGCAAATTTTCATCAGCCTACTTTGATAAAACCCATTATTTATTATTTTCGTTAATAGTACTTTATTACGACTTTTTGTTTTGAGATTCAGGTATTCGGGAGAAATAAACAAAGCGTTCTGAAAATGTTCACAAGAAATTAAGTGTGTGTTCGCCCACAAAGGAAAACAGTTAATCATAGTTAATCAGTTTCATCATAATTTTTTTTTCTTAGAGTGAATACTTCCTGCTGTAAGAAATCTTTTGATTAAACGCCAACAAGTACTTCTTTTAATTCCAGTATTTGGAAATTTTTCACAAAATAAAGCAATAATCGGTTTTTTCCCGGTTCCATACACTGAATCACGTAAACTTTTTCCTCTAATGTTAACATTCTGTTTAAAAAACACTTTAAGTTTACTAAATTACAGTTTGAGAGATTAACAGTGACAGGAAAGCAATTTTGTTTTTCCATGGCAGTCTTTGTTAGAAATAAAATTGTTTGATATGGATTTTTCAAAGTAGGCCGATCAATCCGAAAATTTGCATATGCCCATAGTTTTTCATTCTGAACAAAACTTCTTAGTAACAATTTCACGTACTGTAGACAGAAAAGGTACTTTACCTGCCACAAAAAGAGTTTTTCTTTCACTGTCAAGGCTCACTTGTTTTTTAATACTTGATAATATGTTCAAAATTAGTCGTTAATCAAGCAGGGCTAAACCCCAAAAGATGACAATTAATATCGAAAAAATTTTACCTTTTATAAGAGTCGTTTCACCTATCCGGGGACACACTGTATAAACATCCGATGGACAGACCCTTACAGTTCCGAACAATAAACCCGTAAATTTTATAATAATTAGCAACTAAGTTAAGGGGGGAAACCACATTAGGAGGCTCATTTTCATTGATCTTTTAGGATTTTTTTGGGTGGGAAGAATTGATTAGAATTTAATCCAATTTTGACACTATTTTGTTTATATTTCGAATAACTTTTGTGAATTTTTTTGAATAATTTTATAGAAAAATATCAAAGTTATTCACTGATGTCCGCTGGACGTTCTCCAATTGCGGGACGTATAGCCATTTCAATTTTCATCTGATATCGAAAAGCTTTTCATTTTAGGTTAATAACTTATTTTCTAAGAATATGAACCTCAATGCAGGTAAATGTAACGAAAATTAAAAATTTTGCAGGTATTGGAAAAATTTACTTAAAATTTCACATTTTTTTTTACTAATTATGCAAAAAAAACTCTCTTAAAATCATGATATCATCTCAAAAGTTGGTTCATATATTTCGTAATTTCATAGAGAATCATACTATCAGTTTTCATAATGATTGGTTCATTACTTTTTGAGTTAGAGTTCCCGCCAATGTGAAAATAGTTATTTTTGATACAAGATAGCGAAATGACACAAAAGAATTTCGCTGTCGTGTATCAAACAACATATAACTGCGTATTCTAAAGTTATAAATTAATAAAAAGACCAAATTCAAGATAATGACATTTAGAATTCATTTAATGTTCTGTCAAAAACTTAACGTCACATCGATTTAACCTCACATATTGAACAAATGTACTATTATAAATTTACATTTAAACATGAAATGATGATCAAACAATTAAATGTTGATTATTTTGTGTTTATAATTTGTTCATAACAATAAATTAACAATTAATAGTATCAAATTCTTTGATTGTCGTAGCTTGACGTAAAAGTCTTTTGCGTCCTGGACGTAATAGTATATTAAAAAACAAGTTTCGTAAGACACGCTTGAAATGCACGAATTCAAGTTGAAAAACGAGTGGCGAAGCCACGAGTTTTTTAATGAATGAGTGCTTTAAGTCTTATGAAACGTGTTTTTTATGCTATTTTTTGTAATTCGCGTTTTTATCCTTTTTTTTCTCAAAAATAAAATAAATTTTGGCAATGTAGAGAAATAGGTATGTAGCAGTTGGTAACAACGTAACACTTGAAAATAGAAATTTGAATGACAAATAGAAACTGTCAAAACACAAAACGTACATATTCACCTGATAAAAATGTTTCATATACACCTCCCAAAATAAGAGAAATTGCTCAGAGTTCAATGTCTTCATCATTGTGGACCTTGTATTCGATGTTAAGAACGTGTTTAAATATCCATAGACAAACATTGTCACATTGACAACTAGAAAAATTAATGACCCAATGTCACCAACTTAAACTGATTCCATAAAATGTTACTAAAATCTCATTACAGCATCGGATGCTGTAAAGAGTGTCATTACAGCACCCGTTTGAGCACTGTAATAGCTTTCATTACCGTCGCGAATTACAAAAAAGTATT